TACTCAAGTTCGCGCCCAGTCTCCGACAGCCTAACCGCTAGGAATGAGAATCACGAACGAAAAGTTATGAAGGTGTCGGGATATAAACTTAGGTGATATTTTATTTTGAGTCCTTGGAACTCAGACGAAGTGGGTGGTGTTCACTGTAGGACAGAGTAAGAGTCGATGATCAAAGTTCATGGGAGTTTCAGACTCTCCTTTGACCTTCAGTTGGTCGAACTCAGGCAGGTGTACTTTTTACGACCTTCGCTCTCCTCGTAAAGATTTTTTACAGGTTCGTGTGCGTACTTTTAGAGTACAGAGCTGATAAATTAAACATGGAGTTTCCTGGTTAGAGGCGTGTTGATGAAAGTTTTGTTTGTTTGCCTTGGGACTGTAATCCGCTAAGGTTAAGTGCAAAATGTTACCGTCGGGAGGATCGCAAGGCGCCGCGGTTAGGTACAGCCTGATCACGTGACTCTACGTTCTCCCAAAGCTAAGGACTTTCAAAGCAATGCTAACAAAGTAGAATTAGAGGACCGATGGGAGAAGCGAAATGTGCCTTACTTGTTTCCAACTCTTTCAAACCCTCGCTTCTTAAGTTGTTTCTTGTTGCGAGATGGTAAAGTTCGACAGTGTTCAACGACCAGAAGAAACGTTTCAAGAAAATATGTATTTCAAACTGCCGATACAAAAGATCTGTACAAAAAGAAAGTGATTAATTTACAAGATGGGGTTCTTCAGAACCCTCACAGAACTTACGCAGGTTTGAATCTCGCGGACTTAACAGCGCATGCCCCGCCGCCTATAAGGGCCTCTCGCTGACTACAAATACACGCAGAATTTAAATAACTAATCAAGGGCTGGACTTTTTTTTTTTTTTTTGCTAATTAAAACTTTTCACCTTCCACAATGTTAAGTATCCAATGCCTCCTTCATTAGTAAACTCTTCGTATAGAAGCCTTCTTAACCCACCCGAGATGAAGCCAAATCATGGCCACCCTTACAGCATTAATGAGAAAAGATGCAATTATTTCACATAAACCCAGTCAACTCCAAAAGGATTGTGTGACTGGTCTGGTACCGGAAGAGTTTTGATCTGAGGTTACACAATCTCTTCCGTGAAGCTGAAGTAACAGATCACAGTGTTTGAATGATGAGCTTTCTTTTCTTGTCGTGGATGAATCGATTAGATGTGAACATTGGGCTCTCATAGAACGATCCCAAACTTGTGATGTTTATTTGCCGTGCCTGCAAAAGAAGAGAAAGCAAGTAAAGATCGACACACCAACTGCAACAGGATAAGCTTGTACTAACTGTACGTGAATAAGCTTTGTGTTTGAAAAGTCACGTGTTTTCTTTTTCCCTACGTGTGTCTCCCATTTCCGATTTCTGTGAATGTGTCAATTTCCTTACGCTTTGCGCGGGAATATTGGCGCACGACCGGCCAGAATTGGTCCCTTCGAGCATGCTCAACATTTGACCGCTGTGTTGAGTTTTCTGAGTCAATCACAAAACGGAGTAAACGAAAATGGCATTGAATTCATTAAAGCTAACCCTGTCTGTGAATTCATCTTCTTGAATTTCAATCACATCAGGAACACTGCGATTTCGACTGCGGAAGAACGTAACTTGTTCTTTGGCCAACTGGTTCAACACAAACAGGAGTAGCTCGTTATTGTCACGGCGATAAGCCAGATACTGAGAGAATGCCTGTTAAGAAAAAAACAAACAAACAAATAAAGCTTTTATCAGAGATCACTTCCTAAAATTTACAATAAAACGTGAGGAACATTGACAGAAGATTCCCTTTTCGCCAATAGGCACACATAGAGATGAACTAATCAGAAGATAAATCAGCTTGAGGGTGGCGGGAAAATGCTGTTCTTGGCGGGAAATGCGCACGTATATCATCAGCAGACTTAACGTTATGCAAAAGGCGCAAAAAATGGGAGAATCAAAGAACCAATCAGAACTGGAGATGAATAGATCATCTTTTCTACGCTTGAGTGGGATTGGTTCTGTTTTAAACGAGATTTGTCAGAGCGCTTTAGAAGGGTTGTTTGACTGGATTTAAAAAAGTTCAAAGAATTGAAAACCTCAGCTATAAATTCAAGATGCTATTTTAAAAAATGATTTTGAAAAACTCAGAAAGTTCTTTTTGAGGCACACTCGTGTCAAAACTGTTAAGTCTTTCTTTTGTTGTTACCACCTTTCAAACTAATTCTCTGCACAGGACGTTTTAAATACTGCTGATTTCAGAAGTGTATAGGACGCTAATCGAAAATGATTCTAACATATGGCAGAACTGCACTTGCCACATGCGAATGTGGTATATGACTTACAACGACCACGAATTAACACCGTACTTCGTTTGGTGAAGCAGTGAAAACCGCGTAAATCACAACAGCGAAATCTCCAATCCACAGAGAGGACTCAAAAGGTTCTCTTCCCTCGCCCTTACTCTTTGTTAATATCAAAAACTAAGCTGGTTACAGCCTTACCCCTGCCAGCAGCCCCTTGTTATTAGCGCACCGGACAGGAGGCAATGAGCATCACGAGTCGGCTTTGTTAGGGGATTAGTGCCAGACTCCCGGTCAACCTCTTCGCAACTCCTCTTAAAATCTTTCCCGCGGGCGCAGGAACGCGTCCTGCAGCGCTAAGAATGAGGTCTTGCAGTCAAGCGAAAATGTTTAGGAAGTTTTAAACCAACCTTTCTCATGTTTCTCATAACAGAGAACTTCTGTGTATCAATAAAGCTCTCCAGCATGACTCTGATGGCCATGTTGACGTCATCTTCGGTGACGTATTCCCTGAGGTGCATCTTCGCGTGTCCTTCAGCCATTCTGATCATGGATTCGATATGTCGCACAGTTATCGGAATAGAGCCAGTGGCCTGGAAACATTTAAAGTCATTTCAATCGAATGAGTTGCAATCGAAATTCAATGGCTCTGACACGTTTTCGTGTACAAAATTCGCGACTTTTAAAAACATGTTGCCTACGTTTTACGCTCTTGACTCTCGTAAGTCCACGAGTGACCAAAACAGAATTTCTCCTTACAAGAAATAGCACACAAACTGCAGTTACAAACATGACAGTTTGTGTGCTAATTCTTATCAAGCTACGATGGCCAAAGAGAAAGAATTTCTCCTTACAATATCAATACAATGCAAAGCAGACAAGTAATGAGAATAAAGAAAAATATCATTAAGAGGATTAATAGTTGATCAAATACCAAGGTGTCCATTCTATAACCATAAGAATTATACAACAGACAAAAAGGGGAAATACTAACAAGATTTCGGGAGTGTATGGTCAGAGTTCCCGGGAAAATCAGAATGGCGCTTATGAAAAGTTTAGTCACGGAAATTTAGAGAACCAATAAAGACTTGACTCCGTAATCAACCACTTCTTAACATTTAATCTTGACTTTTCTTAACTTTTAATCCTTTAAATCCTTTCATAAAAATTTTTTCTTGTAAATGTTCATACTTTCCTTAAATATTCTAGGTTACGCGAGCCGGTTTTTAAAATACATTTGACAATATTTTGTCTTACCATTGACTCCTTTCTTAATTCAGCGAACATTTTGGCGATTTTATCCTGGTCCATGTTATGCAGCTTAGGGTTAATTTTTTCACGCGCATAGATGATGTACTTTTTCAGCATTTCTTGAGGAATGGTCTCCTTTCCAGTGAGAGGAGAAATCTGTAAAAAGAAATACGGAATCAAAAAACTTACAGCTGCAAAAGATGGTGACAGCAGCTCTCAAAGAAATTTCAACTAACGTTTACTATGTGAGAGAAAAAGTGAAGAAATTCTTATGTTCACGGCAAATGCGAAACTGGTTACTTTCAAAGTGCAACCCGCAAACGTGTAATAAATGGCGGGAAAAACGAGGTCACGTGGTCACTCTTGCCGTTCACGTTTTACGTAAACGTGGTGCTAAATCTCTCTAAATACAGATTCGTTAGGACCTTTTAGTTGCTGGAAAAAAAGGCACCAAAACTATTCCTTGTAAGTAATAAAGAGGCGCCTTCAAATCCACCATGAAGTGAGCTCGCGCGAAGCTTATGCAGTAAGGTTCAGGCAATTTTACGTGAAACATGAAAGGGCAAGCTGACGTTTGACGTAAACGCGTCAATCTCTTTCATAGCGCTTCGGCTCGAGCGGTTCTCCGCTTGTGGCTCATGATGCCCAAGGTCTCATAAATTCCCGGCAAGAGGCTTGATTAGTGCCAGACCCCCGCAAATCTCTCTCTGACTCGTCTTTAAATCTTTCCGCGAGCGGTGACCCGCTCTTCTTCACTAGTGATCTACACAAGTACAAACAAGTAAAACGGCCTCCTTAGAAGCATTAAATGCTTTCTTACCAAGAGCCTCCTTAACAGGCTAAAGGGTGAAATACTCAATAAATACTCTTGTTTATCCGAATAACTTTCCCCCTAAGCATGGTTTAGTTATTCCTCATTAAACTTAAGTTATAACCTACTGCACACCTCTTCCTTGTCCTCTTCGTCATTTTCCTCATTGTTGACAGCATTTGGATGGTGCTTCACATGGCTGTTCACCACAAACCAAGCCAACATCTCATCCTGAAAAATCGCGCACAGAAAGTTCAAAACGCGATGGCCTCACAATGGCGAAGGACACCTTTATCGTTGGAGATTTTGAGATCTGTGTATACGAGTGACAGCGGCTCTAGAACGCCACTTAGTAAAGCAAATTAAGTCTTAGCTGTCTTTTGATTGAATGTTAATGCTGCAAGAGCTCCGCCTAATTCATTTCCGCCTCCTTTTTTATCTGACGTTTTATCGTGAATGTTCGGAGAGTTTATTATTTTCAAAACTTAGCCCAAACACAGAACAAGTTATTTTTTTTTTAATGTGGTGACCTTGTTTGAATGGTCAGCACTAACTCCCCAGCCCTACAGCTTGTGATGTTACAGAGAATGTGTCTTACAATCTGATTGTCAGTGTTAAAAGCCAAATGAATATTTATTAAATTAATTTACCTGGACAGGATCCACTGTATCTTTGACAACACAGAGAATGTCGAAACGAGAAAGGATTGGCTCAGTCAGATCGACCTATCACAGCAAACAAGAATGAAAAGGATAGTGTGTAAAAGGCTGCTTAGACCCTAGAGGGTCTAATGTAAGCTTGCAATGATAGACAGGATCTGAGAGTTTCAATTATTTTTTTCATAAGGTGGTGTAATATAAGCAGCTGTTGCCAGATAAGGGGCCGTAAGGCAAAACCCGAACACGAAAGTCCCAAAGGGAGGGTCCAGAAAGTTCCATCCCCTTCCCTACCCCCCCCCATCAAACCTATGTGTATTTACACTACTTGTCTGTTACCAGAATTTTTCCAAAGAAGGGATCACATATAACTATTCAACTTGAATTTTTTAAAATTAACTTATCATGACATAAATTATTTCTTAGCTTATTTGGACTAGTTAAAAAAAAAACAACAACAATCATAAAAACAAACAAGGAAACAGCCTTTACAGAATCAAAATTTGGACCCCCCAATCAAAAATACCTGGATCAACCCCTATGCTCTGGTCACCAACCAGCAAACAAAACCAACTCACACTCTAAGTTAGATTAGAGGCATTGTAGGGGTAAATTGTCTCACCCAAAAGTGGACCTAATTACACACCCTTGGGAGGCCATTACTTCTGCTCTAGGCACCCCTCAAGAGCTATCTAGAGTCCGACTGAAAAATAGTAGACCATTTTGCCACAATCTCAAGGGTTTAAATTGTGGGAGTCTGCAAGTGGCCATATGATCTCGTGGGGTAAATGTTATGGTTTTCTTTTCTGTACAAACAGTAACTTACATTTTCAGCAAAAGTCATGGAAGGATCATACCGTCCACCAATTGGATTTGCAGCAGCTAAGATACTGCAACGAGCCTTTAAATGAACCAAGTGCAAGAGAAAAAAAAATCTTAGTAAGCAAGGGTTTGTAACCTAGTACATCAAAAGCTCTTATTTCATCATAACATGCACACAATCATCAGATTGAATTTAAAGGTTTTAAAGGCACCTGCAGTGAAGTCACAATGCCAGCTTTGGAAATTGAGATGCTCTGCTGTTCCATGGCCTCGTGGATACTTGTACGATCTGCATCATTCATCTGTCATAAAAGAATCATCAAAAGTTTTACATCATTTGTATGAAAAGATTTTCTTGCAATATACTGCAATCTTAGCTTAGATACTTCTTACAAGTGAGCATTTGCTAGCTCTTACACATAGGTACCTTGAGGCCAATGAAAGGTCCCTTTTAGGTTTAGTGGCCTAAAAGCCCATATGAGATACCAGTGAAACACTTGAAAAGTTTGAAAATCACCCACTTAAATTGTGACAAACAAACTTCTCTAAATTCTCCAAACATCCTACACATGTTAATAGACCAGCAATTTGATTAGGAGTACAGCCTATTGGTTTCTCAATTAATTAAATGATGGCAAAACATCACTCAGTAAAATAGTAAGTTACTGAAATGTGGTGCTGCTTTGGCGGGAGACAAGATAATTTGGTTTATCAACCAAGTTAATGATGTAGCTTGACCATCATAAAGAGTTTCAGTTTGCAATTTCTTTACTTATGTTTCTAAAGCCTGTTCTTCAAGCAAACCCTTAGTCAGAGAGGGACTCTTTACCATGGCCATTTTTCATTTTAAGTTCAATAAGTTGATAAACTATCATGACCAATAAAAATCCTCCCAGGCTTCCACTTGTACACATGACAACAAACTCTCGTAAAACCAACATTTGAGCTTAAAAAAGAAATTGACATACTTTATCAAACTCATCAATCAAGCACACGCCTTTATCAGCCAATACCAGTGCACCAGCCTCAAGCGTCCATTCCTTAGTGACTGGGTGCCTCTGCACGTATGCCGTCAATCCAACAGCAGATGCACCTTGACCAGTAGTAAATACTGCTCTCTGAGCTGCCTTCTCTACATATTTCAGAAACTGAGACTTAGCTGTTCCTGGGTCACCACATAGAAGGATGTTGATGTCACCTCGAAGTTTGTGCTTTCCACCTGAAATAAAAAAAAATAATGGGCTGGGGTTAAAAGAAACTCTGCCACTTCCTGAACAAATCATCATCAAAGTCAATTAAGAGGTTGTTAGTCAGTTGTAGCCGTATGTTTTAAGTCTGGTTCATGAAACTTTTCTTTATGGCAGCAAATTAAAACTATCAAACAAGTTTTCTTGAATCTAAAACTCTACAGACAAAAAAAATCTAAACTTGACTTTGATCAGAACCTCTATTAAGGTTGTCAAAATGTCAAAAAGTACTCCTGACTAACATATGTTTCAGGAATTCCCTTCACTGAATGATATCAGACCACAAAATTAACATAAATCCTTATCCAAACATGGCAGGAAAAAAAAACCAGAAATACCTTTGAACAGCTCTGTACTTAAGTATTAGACACACATTTCCAATTGATATGGCACCCAGTACAATTCTCTTGTCTACCAATAAAAAAGTCTGTTTACAAGCACAGTGGCCCATCAGATGGCTACTTAACTCCTATTTCTGTAGCACGATTAGCAACTTAAGGAGTATTTCTACTCCCCCCTGAATGGGATGCTAGTCCATCACAGGGTTATATACCCCCAGCGACAGAGCTGAATAACGTATACGCATGCGCTAGGTTTTGCCGCAGAAATGAGGATTTTGAGTCGTTCGCATGGTTGATTTCCTCTTCTGTTGCTTCGAGGCATCATTTTCCTTGCCGCTTTTCTTTTACAGAACAACCTCCAAAAATTTGGTACACCCCCTAAAAATTTTCAAAAATTAATTTTCTCCTTTAAACCTTTGGGAATAGGAAAGTGCCTTCAACGAAAATAGAGTTCCTCCGTTTTAAAGGTCAGCCCTTATTATTTTCCGCTAATTTTGCTAAATTTTAGACCTAGGACATTTGAACCCGCGTTGTTGACCACATACCCGCTGACATAGCATTTCATTATTCAGCTCTGTCCCCCCCAGCATTACATTTGTCAGTACACCTGGATAAAGAGAGGCAATGTGAGAGTAAAGTGTCTTGCCCAAGATCACAACAGAATGTCCCCGGCCAGGGCTCGAACCCAGACCACTCGATCTGGAGTCAAGCGCACTACAACCACCAATAACACAGATTATTGGATACTTATGCAGTCCTTGCTTCTCACCTGGATCTTTGGCCACACCTCCAAACAGCAAAAGGGCAATCGCTCTCTTAATATCATCATGACCATAAATGGATGGTGCGATGCTGTTGATAATCTAAAACAAGAGAGTGAATAACACTTTTGAGCTACATACCAGTATGTCTCCTTCCCCTCAAATCAAATCCAACAAATAATACATATATCTTATTAACCAAGCGTGAGGGCCGTACAGGGAGAATATTGGCCCGAGGTCTTGACAGTACAGACGGAGCGCAGCTAGGTCCGTACAAAAAAGACCGAGGGCTGATATTCTTCCAGTACGGTCCCGAGCAAGCTTGGTTAATCAAAGCTTTATGACATGACTGAAGTTCAAAGGGACACAAGTGCAGTATCATTCGGGACCATTCGGGACAGTGCCCGGTCCAATACTGAGAGAATATTGACCGGCAATAGAGCATTTTGATTGGTTGATTTTAGTTGTTGGCCCTCTGACTGCCCGAGTCATGTAATAAAAGATATATATTTGGTACCTTTAAGCTTCAAGAAAAAAATAGACATCATCAACTGTACCTTTTCACCAATCCTCTCCTCTTTTGATAATTCAATGATTGCCTTGATGTCATCATCAGTCAGACTTGTCACAGCTAATTTGTCATCCTGTTTGGTGATGTAATTGGCTTCAATCACTGTCGCAAATACTGGAAAACCATTGGAGCGATTCAGGCTTGTGTCATAGTTTATTCTGTAAATTCCTGTCAGTTCCTGCAACAATGAATATGATAATTATGAAAAAACCTTTCCATCCCAAAACCACAAATCAGACTCTGTCATTTTCTCTCCATAATCAACACTTTTGTACTGATTATTCCTTTAGCTATCAAAGTTAATTGCAAGAAAAAAAGATTTCCTCTACAGAATCTCATTCTCACTAGCAGAACTCAGGTTTTCCTTGGCACTTACAATTTCATCTCCTGGCTTGCAACTGTCCACTAGATCACCCGTAAGGATGACATCTTTGTATCTTGGAAGTCTTCCTGCTGCAACTTTACTGGGGCTTTCTTGAATCTTGATTTTTTGAAAGTTATGATAAATAGTCTGTGAATGATGAAAGGAAACACTGCTAAGCAAAGTAGAGGAAAAATTAAACTAAAATCTAAAAGGCTGCTAGATACATGTACATTTAATGTGACACAAGGTGCTAAAAGGACAAACTATTGTAGTTATATATTCTATGAGAGCATTATTTGGTTCAAGTCTTAGAGCCAAGAGACCCACAGTTTCCAGTGCTTCGATCAACCTGGTTTTCCAGCTGTAAACAGCTGGGAATAGATTTTCCCCACCCCGCTGGAAAGATGCTCCTTTCAAGTTTCTGTAACTCCTAATTGAAGAGCAAAACCATAACAGCAAAATGCCATAACAATGAAGAGAACTGAATAATGCAGTTCAGAGCTCAAAGCCAATTTAAACCATTCTTCACAAAAGTTTGAGGTACGTTAACTGCAACTCTTCATACAAAGATATTCATAGCAGTCCAAGTTTCAATGAAATAGTATCTGCTCATTATACCTGATCCATGTTTATTTCAAAAGGTCCGCGTGATTGACACTCGGGGCATGACCCAGGGTTCACTTCCTGATTGGCTGATTGGTAGAAAGGCCCCAGGATAAAGGAGCACTTCTGACAGTCGTACTTCACCATACTGAGCTGTGGAAGGATCCCAGTGCTGCTGGTGACAACGCCGCAGGTTCGGATTAATTGGTTCACATGTAGTTGCCTGAAAAAAAAAAAAAACAAAAAAACAAAAGAAAAAAAAACTCCACTCAGTCGATAAAACCAATTATACTCAATCAAGCACTTTAACTCTTGGGTTAACTCTTGACAGTTATCATGATTATGGAGTTCTAATCTTACAAAGTCTAAAGTAATACAGCTGTAACTGATTCTCATGAATGACCAAGACAGAATTTCTCCTTACAAGATCAAGACAACATCAAGTAGACAAGTCATGAGAATAGAGAAAAATATCAATTAGGGGATTATTAGTTGATCAAACATCAAATTCTCCAAACTAAGATCATAAGAATTGTTTGGCAGAGAGTTAGGAGAATAACTAATAAGATCTTGGGAATGAAAGAGTCAAACAATAACAACAATTAAAGAACAGTCGGTGATACCTTAAAGATCGAAGTTCCTCCATCAGAGGAAGATCAGATATCCTCACGTGAATGTCACTTGTGATACGGTCATAGTTTGGAAACATGGCAAGAACCACTTCTTTTGCACCCTAAAAAAATTCAACCTTAAAATAATTACCACACCCCGCTTAAATTAGCACAAACTAAAAATGTTTTGAGACTGGACCATGACTAACTTATTTGCTTGAGATTGAATAATGTAACTTAAAATTATCTGAAGTAATTTGCCAGAAAATGAGTGGTAGCTATACTATCTCCGTTTATAACCTTTAAACTCCTATGAGTGACCAAAACAGAACTTCTCCTTACAATATCAATAGAAAATCAAGCAGACAAGTGACGAGAATAAAGAAAAACATCAGATAACTAGTTAGGGTTTTCATTCAATTTTGGAGTATAAAGGCGCTGCCTTGTGAGTAGGCAGGTACCTCAATAAAATTGAGGGCTGAATAAGGCCCAAACCTCTAGGGGGATCCAAGGTCTCTCAAAGTACATTTTATTTTCACAATCTGGTGGCAAGTAATTGATAAATAAGTGCAGAAAATAGGTTTCAAAGTTACAAATAAGAGTAAATATTTAGTTGAGGTGGATACTTTTTTTCTTGACGATTTTTTTTTATTTCATACTTGAAGTAGGCGGGTACTCTGTTTTAAGCAGATCGGTGCCGATACCTGGGGCCCGGCTTCTAATAAAAACCCTGCTAGTGAATTCAATACCAAATTCTCTAAGCTGAGTTCATAAGAATTATATGGCCAACAGTTAGGAGAATTACTACAGAGATCTAGGGAGTGAAAGGGTCAAAGATCATTACCAGTAACTGCAATATATATCTGAA